GGTTGTGGGTGTGGTGTGGGTGTGGGGGGTGGGGGGTTGTGGGGTGGGGGGGGGGGGGGGGGGAAGAGACAGGATGAGAAAGGAAAAAATGGAAGAGGAAAGAAAAGAAGATGAATTAATCAATCACACTTGTTTTCCCAGTGTCAGGGAGAGTGTGTAACAATTTTTTAGATAAACCGGGCAGAGCACAGATAGGATTATGTGTGTGTGTTTGTGAAAACGGACATTCAGGGCTTTGACTGATGAGGTTATGAGAGCTCTGCTGAAAGTAATCGCCGTGGCAGATTGGAAGCCCAGGGTCTGTGCAGGTTGCATGGGGGGGATAAGAGCAGGCGGTGAGCAGTTCAAGGTCAACCCAAGGGGGAATGTCACTTTACCCCCCTGCGTCTTCAAACATCCTCTAATCTGATTGCTTACAGGAAATGCAGGTGGAGGAGCTCTCCGCCGTGCGACAGACGTTACAGGCCGACCTGGAGACATCAATCCGCCGCATCGTCGATCTGCAGGCCGCCCTGGAGGAAGTGGAATCGAGCGATGAGAGCGAGACCGAAAGGTAGTTGGACTCAAGGCATGGGGAGGGAAGTCTCCGATTAGATCATCCCCTCCAAGTTTTTATGGCAAATCTTTAACCACTGTGCTTCTGAATCCAGCGTTCAAACTGCAGTGGAGTCCTTCACTCGAAAAAAAGACCTGTAAGGAGCCGATGGGTGTGTTTGAGGTGGTAGTGTGCGGCTGTGCTTCAAGAGTTTGTTCATGTGACTAAATAACATTTCACCATAATGAGTGGTTTTGGAATTGGTTATATCTTTGAAAAAAGAATATAGCCTATTTTGTGATAATTCTTGATTTTCCAGTATGATCAGTGCTGGGTATAAGCTCCTGCACTGATCATAACATTGTACTCACCAAAGCTGCTTCACACTTCAGGCAGAGGAGCCTTAAGTTTTAAGCTACGCTTTGAACTTTGGACTCAGTATTCTGATCTACTGTTCCTGAAATCAAAATCCAAACTCATTTGTTCACATTTGTTGAAATCGTAATACCAAACACTACCTGATGGGTTAGCTCAAACTGACCTAAACCTGTTTGGGTCTGTATGCTTACTGAACCTCACAGTTATCCAGTTTTCCTAAGAACCAGAGAAGTTCTTGTTTCCCAAAAATCATATCTGCTGTTTAAACAAGAGTTTTAAATCCAGTAAAACAACAAGCAGCTAATTCACTCACCACTCCTGTTGTTCTATGTCTGCTTTTGTTTTTTGTTTTTTTGTTTTTTTTACATATATTTTCTACCAGTGGAATATTCTTCCAGACAGGCTTTAGTCCATGCATCCATTTACTGTTTTTATAAAGTTATGTTTTCCTCCTGCTCACAACTTTTTCAAGGCAAATAATTTGAAGTGCTACGCTAACATTAGCACATTAGCTGTTTTGTTGTGACTCAGTAGGAATTTAGCTTTTAAACATTTCAGTTAGAATACTTTTAGTCAAAAGACAAAAAGTTGTCTTCCTACTTCATAAATGTAGTACTTTAATCATTAGAAATGTTCATGCAGTCCGGGTACCAGAATGCTAACCAGGTCACAGATGGAGATCTGCTGCAGCCTTCAGACAGAGCTTCTTTGATTGATAGGAAAAACCTACAAACTTAGAGCAAACTTTTTCTTCTTTGGTTTTTACTGGCAGCTTACAGTCTTAGTGGAGCAAACTTTACAAGCCATGTGCATGATAAGATGTCATTTTTAAAAAAATGACGCTAGAAAACATGTACAGTGATTAAACATTTTTCTTTTGGGTAAAGTCTAAATGGAAAAGTATAAAGGAATCAATGGCTAAAAGGTTTCATTCTCCATTTTAAGTTACAAATAACAAATCTCTTTAGCTCATTGTGTGTGTGATCTGTTCCTGCAATATGACATTGGTGAGAACAAGTGTATTACCGACATAGATATTGAACTTTGTAAATCAAATCAAAGTGCAAAGAATTATCCTTCAAGCAAAGTCAACTAAAATGACTGCATGTGCTGCTGTAGTGTCGCTGCTGTAAAAATGTTTATGACAGCCATAAATTAGATGTCATATTTAAATGATTTCAGGATCAACATGAAACAATGTTGCCATGAAGCATTTGCCTCCTTACCGACTTCTTCTGTTTATGTTGGACTTCAGTGTTTCAGACCATCAGACATGTGAATATCAGACACAGATAACACTAGTAAATGCAAAGGGCAGTTTTCAAATGATGATTTTATTGTTTTTGAAAGAAAAAGGCTTTCAAATGTCAGAATGATAGAATCAGGAAACGACTTGATAAAGCCTGTGAGGTGAGATTTCACACCTTCAACTAAAGAAATTCAAGAATATCAGAGTCATTTCTACATCTTTGAGACTCTTGCATACCATAGTGTCAGTGAGTTATTATCCACTCCTACGAGGGACCCAGATTACTTCCAGGGTGAATCAGCAACACATTCAGCAGGTCACAAAAAACCGAGTGCATCTGAAGCACCACTGAATCCTCAGTTGCCGCAGTAAAGGTCAAAGTTCATGACTCCACAATATGAAATCGACTGAGCAAACATCCATAAAAGTCCTTCTAACCTGGCCTAAAAAAAAATAGAAAAGAAAAACAACATATTGAAAGTCTTGATCTAGTCAAAGCCTGGACTTCTATCCTATCCTAATCCTTTTGGTGACATGACCTTGAACTGACTGTTCAGGGTCAAGGACTGTCCAACACGTCTGAAGCTCTTAAAAATAAATCTGCAAAGAAGACTGGACCTAAACCCCCCAATGTGACGTAATCTCTATTTATTTATTTATTTATTTATTTATTTATTTATTTATTTATTCATTCATTTATTCATTCTTAACACCCTGTTAGGTGTTCCTTTAAGAGTTACTATTTTTTTAAATTTTGATGTGCTTTATTCGTGCACAATAACATTAAAAATAATTCTGATTCTAAACAATTCTTCGGTTCAAGGGAAAATTACGTTTTCCCATAAGGCCAAGCTGCTGTAGGCACCGTAACGTTTCAAAAATACGAGTTGTGATTTGTACTGTTATCTTTGTTCAGTGATCTTGAAACAAAAGTGTGGCAGAAAGAATCTGTAAGGTGGGCAAATACTTTAATAGCTATGTGCAACCAGAAAATGATCCAGGATGAGATTGTTTTAATTCATGTTCTCAAGTAAATTCATAATGTAGTGCAGCTGCTTGTGGTGAAATCAGCAGTTATTGAGCTACTATGTTCATAAGGTGCATGCATGCGCCTCGCTGCCTTGCTGCTGGCTGCAGAAGCAAACGGTCAGCCCGTGTGTTAAGGTGTCTCCCCCCCCCGCAGTGACTCTGTGTCCAGCGTCGGCTCTGTTGGCTCAAAGGACGTTGGAGAGGGCATTCGCTCCCGTAGAGGCGGCTCTCCCTACAGCAGCCAAGATGGCCGTCAGTCTGTCACTGACACCATGAGCACCTACAGTTTCCGGTGAGAGTTCACAACATCCATGCATCCAATTAAAGAAACGCATAACAACAAAAAAATTCAACCTACTAAATTTACAGTCTTACTTTTTTTTTATCCTTACAGTTTTACAATCTGTTAGAATAATTCTAATTATTTTTTAAAATGTCTTTTAAGAGGGACAGTATTATGTGAAATTGATATTTTTTTTAGCTTTACATCACGTTATGTAATATCGTTCCCTTGTCAAAAACACCTTGAGTGTTGCCTTGATTCTTTCATGCATGTTTGAGAAATCCTTTAATCTCCATAGCAACCACTGAGCTGTGTAAAACACCTGATTGGACCTAGCTCTGCCTTCAAGACACGGCTATTTCTGCAGCACTTTTCTGTTGCAGTCGCCAAGCTTCAGAGCTTCTGCCTCACAAAGCAGCCGACCCCTATGGCCCCTCCCACTCAGCTCCTTCAGACTAGCCATCAGCAATTAGCAAACACCTGGTGGAACGGTGCACCTGCTGACCTCAGTATAGGAGCAACTCTGGTAAAAACATTGTTAAAGGGTTAATAGAGGAGCCTTGTTGTGATGACTTCCTGAAGGTGGAGTTTCAGAAAGAGTAGGAGTTTCTTAAAGACACAGGAACCCAATTTCAAGTTGTTAAATTACAAAGTCAATTTTCTTTTGATGTATACATCATTCTTTAAACAGGTAACATAGTCACTTCATTGTGCTATAAAATTATGTTAAATGTCTGGAAAACACATAACAGCGCTCCTTTAAGACACTTTTTCATTCATTTGGAGAAATGCTGAGGGTCACCGTCCATTGAGAAGACAACTTTAAGCCGAAGCCATAACTTCTCGGCTTGTGATGCTGCTTCATCTCCACATGATGTAAAGTCACAACACAACACAAGTGATTGTCCACTGCTGATGTGTGCTGGTCCAGGAGGAGTGAATGCTGCAATCAGTGACTTGAGGCAATCTAAATTCAAATGAAAAAAGAAAAAAAAGAACTGGGATTGGCTAAAGTAGGCAGGTCAAAGCTTTAGGAAGACTGAAAAAGGGAGAACTGGACTCAAAACTCTGTCTATAATACTAATAACTATGATAGTGGTATAATCAGGTACTGTAATAGACGTCTTTCTGTTATCCACTGCAGTTCTTGTTTGGACCCTGACGATGAGGGCTCTGAAGCCGACGGTGTTGGTGCCACTGGCGGTGCCAGACATCTCACCCAGGCTCCGTCCTCCTCGGCGCTGTCCAAGCTGCTGGACGGACTCCGGAAACGCAGGGCGAGCACAGAGGTGTCGGACGGGGCTGGCAGCACTGTCTCCCTTCCCATCTACCAAACCACCGGAGCCTCCACTCTCCGGCGGAGGGCCTCAGGTCTTTCCCTTGGTCCGGCGGACGTCCAGGAGCTCCGGCCTGGCCCTGGCATCCTGAAACCGCCGTCTCCTCTGCTGCCACGCGCCGCCAGCTCTTGCTCTGTCGCCGACTCAGAGAAGCTCCCTCGCTTCAACTCGAGCAGCTCGGCCTCCTCGCTCCCGTCCCTGCCTCGTCTCTCCTCTCTGTCTTCTTCTCTTGCCGCCCGCCATCCTCCTCCGTCCCTGTCCATCCCCGAGGAGGACCACGATGAGCCCCTGCGCTTGACGGCCACTCCCTTCCAGCGCTCCCCGCAGCCGCTGCGGCGGTGCATGCTGGAGAGCGTCGCCGCTGCTGCAGACGGAGGCGAGGGGTCCCTGGGGTCAGAACCCATGGTCTTCCAGAACCGGCGTCTGACTGGCGACTGCGACAACGCTGCGTCAGACATCCTGCCCGCCATCCGCAGGGCCCAGTCCACCAGCAGTCTGGCCAGCTCCATCAGAGGAACCAGGAGGGCGCTGAGCGTCCATTTCGGAGAGCTGCCCCCATCCACGCGCAGCAGGAAGAGCTCTGAGACGGAGTCGTCCAGTTCAGGCGGGTCTGGGGGAAGCTCCCAGGGCAGCGGGCCGCGGCGGAGGCTGGAACAACCACAGGGACAGAGACTGGAGGCGGAGGGGAGCGAGGGGGGAGACGTGGCTTCAGTCATGAAGAAGTACCTAAGGAAGGAGGTCGACTGATGCAGGCCAGGTGAGCTGTAGACAGGAAATGGAGTGCTGGGTTCCCTTCAGTGTATCATAAGCCTGGCGGGCCACCAGGCTGTACTTCCTCCCCCACCAGGCTGAGCATTGTTTTTTTGTTTTAAGTTGTTTATTTTTACACACCAGGAACATTAACTGTGTTTTTGCTACAATCTTTGTTTATATTCTGCTGATGTTTAAGAAACACAACTTTGCAATTGTGGTGTTTCCATTAAATAAAAATTAAATTCAAATCACATCGAATCACATGTGAATAAACTTGTTCCCATGATAAGTTATTAAAGATTATGGCAGCAGTGGATGTAAACAGTTACATGAGATTTATTCATAATACAGCTATGGTGCTAATGCTCATCTTCTGTCAGCCAATCAGAGGAGATGTCAGCATCTTATTCAGGTTTTGCAGCAAAAGGCCCCGCCTACTTGGAAATCGTTTTGGGGAAATTGTAGTTTTTGACTTTACATAAGACTTATGGATTCTACACACTAGAATTATACACAACTTTTTATGAACTGTGTGATCCTGTGAGCTCTAGTGGAGTCAGATGCAGCATCACTTCCTGCTACTTCCTGGCAGGTTCCAGTTAGCCGGATGTCACTGTATGTCCACTGGTAGTAACATCCAACTGTGGATCACGTGACTCGTGTGATGTGAAAAAAGTTTCTCGATGCGGCCAGAAAAAAGCACCTCAACATGAGTTTTTGCACAATTCTAGAGTTGCAGACAGAACAGTCGGATGAAGCTCGGTTTCTCTTTTTTTTTTTTTTTGAACTGGTGCGTACCATTTTTGCCGTTCCTGCATCTGCCCATTGGCCTCACACCCTAATATTTCCAAATTACGACTCCAGTGAACCTTGGGAATTTTTTATAACTTTTAACATTTAACTCAGAAACACGGCTGGCCGCTGGTGGACCGCCCTGCCTCTGGGCTTCACAGGTTTCCGGGGGAAACCCTGGAGTGGCATCTGAGGGAACATTTTCATTCACACATCAGGTTATTCATGCATCAAATGACTTCAATATCTGGGCCATATTTCCCAAAAGCATCTTAAGCTGATTGAGAAATCCAGCAGAGGGATCACAGCTGAAGTCACACCAGTGCAGCGTTTTATTTCTTCATGACTTAAAACAGGCAGGTCCCTTATCAACAAATGAGCCACCAACTTTGGCTGTTACTGATCCCACAGCATATTACTGTGTGCTAAAGATTTGCTTCTATTTCTGTAAAATATTGAAGTTCCTCTGAATTCCACACACAGATTTCAGCAACTATATCAAATTCTCACAACTAATCAAAACCCATAATTTAGCTTATATTAGGAGTTGAACACAATGAGACCAAAAGAAATTTGTAAATGGGTTTTATTGATTAATCACATTTTTTTGATTTATGAAGATCTTATATGTTGAAAATTAAGATTTTTTTTTCACCAATGCACTTATTGTGTAGTGTAGGTCAACTCTACACTAAAATTATTTTTTAATGACAAGGAAAATAAAGTTATATTACAAGAATACAGTCATAATACAATAAAGTGAAAATAATACGAGTATAAAGTTTTAGTATTACCAGAATAATGTTATAATATTAGGAGAATAAAGTTTATCAGGACTCCAACATGAAAAATTACAAAACAATGTTGGTAAAGTTTAAAGTTATACTTTGTTGTTGGTTTTACAAATGAAAAAATATTTAATCTGTTAACACATCGGCATCAAATTATTATCAGTAGCAGGACTTTTAATGACACATGGTGCAAACAAATATATCCATGTGTGATTTTAATTTTGTTTCTTATTTAATGGAAACATAAATGAGAAGTTATGTTTTATTAACACAATATTGAGAAATTGTGCACACTTTTGTAATGGAAACTCAGCCAGTGAGAACACAGTGTACAGTTATGTCTTTTCATATGATGTACTCTGGTTGGCTTTTATTTCAAAGCTAAAAATTCAATTTAAAAATATAACCAAAATAATATTTTTTTGCAGATTGTTTTTTTTTTCAATCCAGCATATCCATGCACTTTATTATTATTATTATTATTATTATTATTATTATTATTATTATTATTATTATTATTATTATTATGCTTGAAGAATTATACAAATGTGTTCAGAACACAGCTTTAAGGAGAAAAATGTGATCATTATCAGGGAAACGCAGCCATGATTATTTTGGCAGCGCTGCGCAGCAACCATCAGCCACGGCCATTAATCACATAAAACAGAACAAAATAACAACGTCATTTTCTCCCAAATGAGCTGCTCCTGCTGAGGGTCGGTGTAGCATGACTCAGGCTGAATTAAAGAGGCCTTTTTGTTTCCATTCCCGGCTGAATATGAGGAGAGGTTCTTAGGTGGTAGACGGATCCGGGCCCGGGCTTGTATCTGCAGCTGAGCATCATATCACACCCTGCTTTCACATCAACCTCTCTGTTCTGACCATCATGTTCTTTTTTTTTTTTTTTTTTTAATATCCCATCAGCCTCCTCGTGTGTTGGCTTCCAGCTGTGAGCTTCAAAGAGACTTGCAGACCACAGGATGCTGAATGAAATGCTTTGGAAGTCAACGCTGATGCTTTTGACTCCTCATCTGGATATTAAAGCCACCGAGAAAGAAAAAAGAAAGCACACTCTCTGTATTTTCAAATACGTTCTGTTTGTACATGATTAAAAATGAATGAATAATTTTGGAGTTGTGTCTATGTGCATTTCTTACTTTGAGTCATTCATTTGAGTTTATTTGCATGTTACTGTTCTTTTTCTTTTTTTTTAATCCTTTTTCACTCAGAAAATTTTTCTTACATATATGCAAAATGTGCTTCACACTTAATGTGTGAAACTTTAATAAAGATGTTTTTTCCATATCTATTCAACCTGTCACCATGTTGTGACAGTTTAGTATCAGAGATAATTTGTGAAAAAATGTAGGTTCTCCCAGTGTTACTATTGTGGTCCTCAAACAGGCACCGCTTCTGGTCAAAAACAACCAATCAGAGCCAGGAGGAGGGTCTTAGACCTGCTAATCATCCCTATGCACCCTGCTCATTGTGCCAACGGTGGAAAAATAACTTACCATTATAGGAAAACCATTTATCTGCTGTCATCAGTTTGTATGCTAACTAGCCTGAACAGTTGTGGTGAACCAACTGTAGCATAGCAAAGAGCAACAGTGAGCATGAGAGTGATTGACAGCAATAAGACCCTCCTCCTGGTTCTGATTGGTTGTTTCTGACTTGAGTGGTGTACCAAAAAAAAAAACAAAAAAAAAAAGAAACAAAAGTTATACTGCAGCTTTAAGGCCCCGTCTAAAAACACTTACAAGTGCCTATTTTAATACTTCAAATACTCAAGAGTGGAAACCATCTTGGCACTATAACAGAAGATAACTACAGTGTTCCTGATAGCCACTCTTGTCTAATAGCCAGTCAGCATCAAGGAAAATGAATGGTGCTCCTGAATCGGCTGCTTTACAAACACCAGCTAACAGAAGGTCAAGCAGCCTTCTGAAACTGCCTTTCATGTCAAATATTTTAAATATACTGAACACAAAAAATCAGTGAGTAGGCAAATTTTCTGCAAATAATTTGGAGTATTCACAAAAACAAATCTAGGAATAGGTGAATTAACAAATTGGAGTCAGAGGTCTGGTGAATCATTAATATGACTCAAATTGAACTGTTTTTAATTGAATTGTAGGAAACTGTCTCTGTGGTCTTACAGAATAAAATAAAATCCTTTCCTGTCCCACGGTGGGGAAATTCAGCTGCATCAAGTTAAAGTGAAAGTTGTGATGTTCTGTTGTCTTCATGATTGATTGCCTGCTGATCAAACTGTGTTTGCTAAAATGTCAAATGTGTAAAAATTCCACTCAGCTGCTCGTCCTTCTTTCTGGATATGAACCAGAATGATGGAGTATTAGCTTGATTGTAACATGCAGAAATAATTCCTCGTTGAGTGTAAGGGAGCATCGTGGTTCAATGGCTTCATCAGTGAACACGCTTCAGTGAGTGCCTGGTTAGTGATTGAGTAGGTGTGGAGTGTTGTCCAATTTTGCTCTCTTGGAGAACCTGCTCATCTGTGCTCCTGTCTGCTCAGGGTCATGTTCCACCAACACAATGTTGCAGTTCCTGCGTGTGGACTCTTTCTCTCTGACATTGCTTTGCCAGAATGTACCGACACTGATAACTAAGACTCCAGCTATCTCAGAAAACGGTAGCTGTTCCAGGAACATTTATTGTGCGTTATGTGATCTACTCTGGCTCTGGTTGGAGATGGACTGGTGAAACCCAGACAACTGTAACTGTATGAAAGAGAACTCCTGCAAAAATAGTAGAGGAACAATTTTTTTTTTTTCAGTTTTTTCAGTAACTAGAAAAGTGTTCAAATATGTTGTATGCTGTGCTATCAAATAGTCATATCAAAAGACTGGATAAACAGGCCAATGTTAGAACAATGCTATGCAAGAGGAAAGGTATTGGCGAAGAGTCATGGTGAATAATGAAGAGCTAACTGTTCACATTGTCCTCTGCATAATGACAATGAGCTTTGTACCCGTGTTATACCACATATTAATGTTTATGGAGTCACTTCATCGTATGCTATGAACAACTGAACTTTCATGTTTCATTGATGATTCAGTCCCATCTCTGCTGACTTCTAAAGATTCTTTTCCATCAGTGCCTGAATTTCAAAGATTAAAGGCGCAGCGCTACAAGACTCAAAGACGCTGCACTGTGGGATTAAGAGTAAAATATATTGAAGAACTCCAGCAGCAGCTTGCAGAGATGAAACTCTTAGACTGCATATATTTATTCACTCTTACAGTCTATCTGTAAGCATAGAGCTTCTGGATAAACTGTACAGCATGTTGTGTCCCTTTCCATCCTGCTTTACAGTAATTATTTGATGGAATGTTTTCACTTCCAAAGTGCTTTAATGCACACTTGGATTATGCCTACAACATTTTGAGCATTACGTGCTTCTTCTTGTTTAAATAGTTTTACGAAGGAAGCTCATGGCCTACTTTAGCACCTCGAAGTGACGCAGGGTGTCGTACAGCCGAGTTTGCTGATTGGCCAAGAGTCTTGACCTATTTCTCCCAAGAGGTTTTTCAGGATTTCCAACTAGTTGAGAAGTGAATGTACATGCTGCACAGAGCTTCTGGATAGACAGAATTCATTGTTTATCACAGACATTAAAACATATACAAAGTACAAACAAATGTAGAATTCATTTTGAGTCCACGTATGAGGACAGTAAGTGACGATGGGAAAGTAAAGTGGAACTCCTTGTTTTTTCATACAAACCTGGCAACTAAAACAGATTCTATTCCATTTTCAAAAGGCCCATCCATCCATCCATCCATCCATCCATCCATCCATCCATCCATCCATCCATCCATCCATCCATCTTGAAGGATTGTTTTGTTAGACTAACAGGCCCAGAAGGGAAAACCAAGTATCCTCATGTTTAATCAAATTACATTTGTCTGATAATAAAATTAGTTAATGTTTGAATGTAACAAAATAAAGTAAAACAAGAAATCTATAAGGACTCGTATACTTTTCATAGCACTGTTGTACTTCTGTGGCAGCATTCTGTGGAAAGCAATGAATGCGCCGCGGAACAACGAGCGCTCATTAGGAGCTGAACAGCTGCACATTAGGTGTGCCACATCAGTGGAGGAGCGTCCTCTGTGATTACATCCCCGCTGCATCAGATCCTCTCAGCTCCATCCGGGCTGAGCAGGAGTCCCGTTCACTGAGCCTGCTGCTGCTGCTGCTGCTGCTGCTGCTGCTCTAATTGGAACAGGACCGGGGTCTCCCTCTGACTCAGATGCGTCTCATATCAACTCATGCAATCAAACACGCTGTCAGCAGTGAACGACTTCGGTTAAATCCTGTTTTCCCCGAGACTTGCTAATAAAATTGATGAGGCAATAAAATGCGCGTACCGAAAGCATTCCTTAGATGAGTGAGTCTCGGTTCATATCAGGTTTTTCTAGGTGAAATCTGACTGACTGCAGGCCGGTGTCACCAAATGTTGCTTGTTAGAGAGTCTTAACGATAAGAGGAGCAATGCAGGTTCTCCACTTTAGCAAATCTTCTCTGCCTCAGGGCATCTCATGCTGAGAGCTGGAAACCCCCACTGCCACAGTCTGCATTGCAGGATGTGTATTGAAGTCAGGAGATTCATTTGTATGGACAGTTATATAGGCTGAGCAGCACTAAAATAATGTTTTATATGTAATATAAAGTTATTAAAAACAGAAGATGATGTTGATAGGCAATGGTGTCAAAGCAAGTGGATATATAAACGCATTATTTGTTTTTTGTAATGCACGGGAACCTAAATCTATGTTTTCTCAAACACAAATACAGTTCTCTCAAATCTTCTCTTTTTATAAATAATCGTTTACAGTGATATTAAACAGCAAAGAGCATAAAAATGTTTTCCCAGATATCCAGTTAAGTCTGGGCTTTAGAGCATTACCAACATCTGGTAACTAAGGGTGATTTTTTTTCCCTCTGAAGCCCCATTGGAAACTAAAGGAACTAAAGAAAATAAAAAAAAATCTCAATATTACATAAAGGATCCCTGCACACAACATTTATCCATATCAGACTTTTTAAAAAGCAAGAAACAAAACAACTTTGCACTTTAGAAAGAAGTTTATTATCTATTATTATCTATTTAAAAAAAAAAAAGCATCACAGTGCTGAAGTGACTCCCAGTCTGCAGCTGCTGGTCCACTTTGTGTGACCTGCTCTGCACCACTGACTGTCTGCTGCTGGATCCCAGACAATAATTACATGTTGGTTTGCAGTTCATCATAAAACAGAATTTTGCTCCTAATGTAAACGAGCTTCAGTTCATCATTGAGGTCTACAAACTTTTTTTGCCTTGTTCTGTCTCACCTGTTTGCGAACTGCTATCTTTTGCCACAGCAAACAAGAAGCTGTGACCTACAGGCCTCTGCTGTGCAGTACAACGGAGCCATGTGCTGTCTACATCTCAAGGCAAAGGCTTAACGACCCCCTACTTCACCCCCCGCCTTCCTTCTCACAGGAATTTGTAAAGAAAACACAACAGCGGCAGGAGAGCTAGGACCAATGGCTGTAAAGTAAAGAGATAAAAGAGATGAGATTGGGCTTAAGATGGAGATGGAGGAGAAGGAGGGATTGTAGATTACAAAGAGAATCAGATAGGATGAGGATAGATGAGACAAGGAGTGAGCCGGGGACGGTTGGTGGGGGGAGTGATGCTTCTCAGAACGAACGATATCTCTCCTCCCTCTAAAGCCGCCGTCTAATCATTTCATTCTTTGTTTGGCAGAGATGGAGGAGACACGCAGCTCTGACTGCCTCAGCACATAAAGGCAAAAGTTTAGGAGTTTTATACGTGGCACTGATGATTCTGTTCAGTCGAAAGATGGTACAAAACAGCAGAATGGTATACCAATAACATGACTATGTCTTTTGTAAATGTGTATATAAAGTACAGAATGGGAAATGGGGATATTTTTGTGGTTAGGACAGAGAATCGGTTTACAATGTTGGACAAAAATGAGTAATGACTTAAAAAGCCATAAAAGTGGCCTCATGTGAAAAGTAAATGCTGCCACTGTTGGTGGCAACATCAGCCATGCAGTGGTACCGATAACTGGAAATGAGTCTTTAAAGGGGCAGTATG